TGTGCCCCATGGCACCTCTCTAGCTTGGCAGGTCATCTGGGAACCGTTCCTGTGTTCCAGCTGTGGGATTTTGCTGAGCAGGAGGGATCACAGCAGCTGTTTGGATGAGCCATGTCTCCCACCGCGGATGCCGGCACCTCGTCAGATGGGATGTGCCTGGAAGAGCTGCCCAGCTCTGCGACCACCATCTGCTCTGAAAACCACCCCTGGCTCTGTGTCCTGGGGCCATCGTGGTGTGATGAGGGCAGTGCCACTGTCTGTACCTGTTAGCCACAGGCACCTTGGCTGAGCAGCATATGGAGCAGGGATCCTCTCAGCCGGGAAGGATATTGGTGGGATAAACCTGAATCTGAGTCTTGACTTGTTGGTGCAGGATTGGTAGAGGGAAGAGGGCTGCCTGCAAAAGGAAAATAGGTGCTGCACTGGGTGCTCTGATCAAAGGAGATGGTATTTTGACTGTGAAGTTCACAGAATACCAGTGACTAATTGGGAAAAAGCTTCCCTGGCTGAGTATCCATCCTGTGGAGGGTCCTAGGGGACAGCTCGGTGTTGTGCCCCCAAGAGGGCCAGCACAGGAGCTACTGTGCTTCACTTAGTTTGTAGTACAGTTACTCTGTAGGACAAACACAGATGACCAGGAGGAGGCAGGCCTGGAAAAAAACCCTTTATGTGCTTGGTTGCTGCTTGAACCCTTTGGTTTGGTGTGTAAATTCTCCTGTCCCAGACAATACGAACAGGCAAACTCTATGGAAAAGCAGTAATAGTTGGGACACTCAGAGTGGGTGAACAGGAACCTCCTGGATTGTGTCCTGTGTAAAAATACCAGTTCTTGAGTGATTGTGTGAGTTGGTTTCTCCCTTTACTGAGAGTTTCTCTGAACACCAGCATAGGAACTGGTTGCTCTGATCAGCAAAGATGTGCTCCAAGCTGGGGAGGGGGTTTTACAAGCTTCTGACCCAAAAGCTGCAGCTGAATTTACAGGTGTGTGTATTATCTGTTTGGATATATTTGTTACTGCCTTGTAGTTCAAAACTGGCTTCTGCAAAAACTCCATGAAGGCTGGTGTGGTTGTGGGATGAGTTGATCTGGCCTAAATTGGTTTTATTGTTGGTGTTTTTTCCTCTGCATTTGCTGCTTTCTTGATTTGTTGATTTCTAAGCTCATCGAGACTGTGATATTGGTGTTATAAAAAATCCCAAACTATTCCCCAGATATTTCCCAGTGCACTGCTGCTCTTTGAGATCCTCACATTTGTCAAAGGCCTCTCACCCGAAAGGGAAACCCCGTGTGAGCTTTTGTGGAAAAGTCTTCAGTGAGGTGTCACATGAAGGGGAAAAAAGGGACCTGATGGGAAACGCGGAAAACACCTCAGGAGGAGAAGTGTCTTTTTAGCTGACAGCAGGTTCTTTGAAGCACACTAGATTCTTGCTGCATGTTTTCAGATCCTTTCTGGATGGCATTTTACAGCTGCAGGTGTCTCGGATCGGTAACAGCGTGATACCAGCTCAGTCTGAGCGTGGCGTGGACCAGACACTCGGTGGTGAGGAAAGCCAGACGCTTCCCTGGGCTGTTCCAGACCACTGCTGCTGCTGGGATTTTTGGGGAAGGTCATGAAGTGACCCAGCCAGTGTACCACTGTGAGAGCAGCAAAGATAAAATGTGTTATTCCTTATTTTTGCTATCTAGCTGCTCCAGTTTTGGAAGTATTTTAAGGCCTGACTCGGAAGAGGATCTTGATGTTCAAAGGGAAGAATTAAATCATGTATTTCACTTGATGTGCTCTCTCTTGCTGCCATGGAAACCCTTCCAAGTTGCCAGGCTGTTGTGGGTCCCGTGCTTGCCCTGCTAATGGTGCTCTCTGTCCTGTGGACAGGAATGCCCGAAATGCCACGTCACCATCGAGAAGGACGGGGGCTGCAACCACATGGTCTGTCGGAACCAGAACTGCAAGGCGGAGTTCTGCTGGGTGTGTCTGGGCCCCTGGGAGCCCCACGGATCTGCCTGGTGAGTTCGGGAGCGTGCCTTGCTGGAGGGCGAGGAGGTCGTGGTGCCACCGGCATGGATTTGGACTGAAATCTGTGGAATCGGTGTCCCCGTTACAGGTACAACTGTAATCGCTACAATGAGGATGATGCAAAGGCAGCAAGGGATGCACAGGAGGTGAGTCCATAACCTTTGGTGATGAGGGAGATCACCAGCCCTGTGGTTGTGCTTTCTGTAAACCTACACAGCTGCTCTGGAGAAATTCATGGATTTGGGCACAAGTCTAAGGGACAGTTAAGTCTTTCAGTGTTAAGATAGGGATGGCTTTGCTGGTTTGTGCTACCTCTGTACATCCACAACACACAAGTTGAACCATGCCCGTGGTGTTATTTTTTTACAGCTGGTCTGTCAGTGTGAAGAAAATAAGATTAATGAGAGTGTATTGAGTCATCTTGGTTCTCTTGCACTGTTTAGCACACGGTGTCTTTCCCTGCTCTATAATCAACCTAAGGTTGCCCTCTTAACATGAGCACAGTAATTGCTTAATTAGAATTCTTCATTAGCAAAAAAAAAAAAAAGAAAAAAAGATAAAATCATCTTCTCACTGTCATGACTCTGGAAGCATCTGAGTGGCTGAAACACAAATGTGATCAGGCTTTAGCAGTGTGACTGTAATTACTTCCACGGTTAGGAGTGAGGATGTCAGAGCTGTGCTAGGAAGTCCCCTGTGCCAGCGAGACAGGGGCTGGGCTGTCACCTCCAGTGTCGGGGTCAGCGGGGCCGCACGAATTCGTCTGGTCAACGTGAGAGGAAAGGAAACTCCTTGGGAAAGGAAGGCCAGTGTGCGGGTCAGGAAGAGCCTGGTGAAGGGTTTACTTCTCTTGCAGCCATTACTTTGTTTTAACTATTTGTTTTCTTTCTCCCTAATGGGAATTAACACAGCGATCCCGAGCAGCCCTGCAGAGGTACCTGTTCTACTGCAACCGCTACATGAACCACATGCAGAGCCTGCGCTTCGAGCACAAGCTCTACGCTCAGGTGAAGCAGAAGATGGAGGAGATGCAGCAGCACAACATGTCGTGGATCGAGGTGCAGTTCCTGAAGAAAGCAGTCGACGTCCTCTGCCAGTGTCGTGCCACACTCATGTACACTTACGTCTTTGCCTTCTACCTCAAAAAGAATAATCAGTCCATTATCTTTGAGGTAGGAGAAAACGTGGTGGTCAGGGATTCAGATTGCAAAGCTAAGGAAATAGGGATTTAATGCTTGGAGACCTCTTGGCCCCACTTTTACCAATTTGAGTCTGTGTTAATATTCTCTGGAATAGAATATTGTGTAGGGCTGTCTGATGGAGGAATCACAGAACCACAAAGCTGTGGCTGCCCCATCCCTGGAAGTGTCCAAGGCCAGGTTGGACAGAGCTTGGAGCAGCCTGGTCTAATGGAGTTGTCCTTGCCCATGAGTGAAATGAGATGAGCTTTAAGCTCCCTTCCAACACACATAACTCTGTGATTTGTGATATCTAATCCCACTTTTTATTTTGGTACTGTTTAGTTGTGCTGAAGAAAAAATATATATTTTATATATAAATATATATATATATTTAGCCCACCCTAAATACTGTTTTTCTTTTGTCTTTGCAGAATAACCAAGCAGACTTAGAGAATGCTACAGAGGTGCTTTCTGGGTACCTGGAGCGAGATATATCCCAAGATTCGCTGCAAGACATAAAGCAGAAAGTACAGGATAAGTACAGGTTTGTGTTGGGATACTCCTCTCTCTCAAAGTTGCCTGAGTATTGCCATCCCCTGTGACAGGCAGTGGCCTGAGCACTTGCCAAGATACAGTTTTCTCCAGAGCCACATCCCTGGGAAGCTGTTTGCTGTTGGCCTTGTGCCATCCCGTTGGGATCAGCAACCAGTCCCTGGGCATCTGGGAGCAGCAGCAGCAGCAGCAGCAGGAGCCTGCCCAGCCCCTGGATCCTCATGGAGAAGCCTCACACACAGGCTGGCAGTGTGTTTTTGTGCCCCTGCTGGGACCAGCTCCCGGGGGAGGTGACAGCCTGGGGAGAGGCTCCCAGCTCTGCCTTCCATCTGCTCCACAGAGGAGCTGGAAGATCAACCCCAGAATGGAAAGAATCCTGTGACCAGAAGCAATGGCTGTTCGTGCTCCTGCTGTTCCTGCACAGAAGGAGCATGTGGGAATGGCCAGGACCAGGGTGGGATTGCACAGCGAGGGCCAAAGAACAAGGAGTGACTTTGTTGTTCCAAACTGCCAGCTTTGGCCTGGGATGAGTTGCCAGCAGGGAGCAATCAGCTCTTTTAATCATCTGCAGGGGCCGTTTGTGCAAAACGGTGTGGGAGAGCTGTCCCTAAGGAAGAGGGAGGGAGCAGCCTGTCCAGCTGAGGAGGGGAGCAGGGGACTGGGGGCCAGGTGACACAGATGCCAGGGCTTTGTGCAGTCCCTGGGGAATCACTTCTGCACAGTGGAAAAGTACAAAGCTGAAAATGCGGATGAGTCACAGGATTATGGCTTTCATTTCTGAGGCATTTTGCCAGAGTCACTGAATTTGTTATGCCTGGCTTAGGGGGAAGAAAAAATCCAAAGTAGGGTGAGTCGTGGTGACTAATGGACTGTGGGGAGTGGAAGGAGCTGTTAAGCTTCGGTGGGCCTGTGGCCCATCCTGCCCGAGTCATCCAGCCCCAGCTGTGCTGCCAAAGACTTACCTGACCTCCTTTTTGGAGGCATTTTGTAATTTACCCTTTAAGGCCACCATTAAGTTGGCATTTCAGATCAAGCTGCTTGTTCACTTCAGTCCTCTGAACCTGGATGCTCTTCTAGGGATGAAATTAAAACCTAATATAGCCTGGAAACAGTATCCCAAACCTGCCTTCACATTTCTGGGAAGAAAGTATTCATCTGTCAAGCCTGTGCAGGTCCTTCATTAACTAGTTCAGTCATGTCTTAATCATGTCCTGCACGGTGTTCTTTGATGCAAGACTGGGAGCAGGATGTCATCGAGGTGGGTTTAAAGAGCCCTGGGAAGCTGCAGGAACTGCCCTGTGGGCTGGTTTGGTTTCAGCTGTTTGGATCTCTTTGCTTGCAAAGACATTTCTAGAAAACAGGATTAACACCCCTCCCTCCCCCCAGCAGGAAAATAACTAAAGTTGGGAAGGCAGAAATTGTGTGTGTTTGCCATCACATGCTCCCAAAAATCAATGGGACTTTGTATACGAGGGTTTATGTTGCAACAGCTGACAGCAGCAAGGAAAGCCAGGACTGGTTTATGGGGGTAAATCTGTCAGTGTGAGCAGATACTGAGCGGTAGGTGAGGAATTCCTACCAGGTGTCAGGCTGTGTGTGATCAGGGATAGCTCCCTGCTGGGAGATTCCTCCCGAGGGATGTGTGACCACTGCCGAGCAATCCGGGTTCCCAGCAGCCAGAGCCCCTCGGATGCCATCCTGACCCAGGAACCTGCCTGGAAACTGAACCACACAATTCCCAGCAGGAACTGGTAACTGCTCAGTTGGCTCCTGGGTTCCAGTTTCTCTCCTCAGAGCCTGGGTGCTGCCAGACCAGCCCCACAGCTGCCCTTGGGGCCTTGGGAACTCTCACTGAGACTTGGTGTGTCCCCCACATCCCTAAAGGTGCTGCAGACTTTGGGATTGCTGCTGGAAGAGGTTGAATTTAGAAACACCTACTACTTATTTAGAATTTGTTCTTGGAACCTGAATTCTTTAAATGTTTCTCTGCTTTTTATCTTTTTAGTTGGCTGTGACATCCTTTGCTATATTCTCTGATAACCCTTTTTCCTCAGTGTCAGTGATCCTGGTAGGACTGGGCCAGACTCTGGGATCAGTTTTATGTGCAGTTTTGTTTCAGTGAGTGTAGGTGGGAAGAGCCTGAGGGTGTGGTGTCCGTCTCAGAGCCAGGTGCAGGGATGTGAGGTGAACCCTGCTCTCCAGGCAGACCAGTAACCCTTTGGACTGCTTCCATCTCCACTGGGAAGTAAAACTGTGTCAGCATTCCTGAGAGTTTCATCATGGAGTGGTTTGGATGTAATGGACCTTGAGGACCATCCAATTGACCCCCCCTGCTGTGGACAGGGACACCTTCCACTAGACCAGGTTGCTCCAAGCCCCATCCAGCCTGGCCTTCAGCACTTCAAGACAGTTTTTCCAAGCTAACTCCTGCATTTTTGTTGTCTTGATGGGGCTCAGAGCAGGCACCAGCCCACATCTGAGGAGAGCTCGTCCCATTCCGGGTGTCCCCACAAACCACAGCCACTGCCTCCTTTTCCAGTTATTCCTGGAGGCTTCCCAGCTGTAGGGACTGTGGGGAAACTCCCCATTTACACACTGGTTTTCCAGTGAGGGACCTGGAGCTGAGTGACTGGAGTAACCAGAGTCTTAATTAGGGCTGTTAACAGGCTGCAAGTACAAAATCCCTCCTCGGGGGAGCTCCTCTTTGGGAAGCGAGGCGTGATGTAGGTTTGGATTTGTTGGTCCCGGGGATGCTCCGCGATTCCTAACCCGCCTTTTCCACGCTGTCCCTCTTCCCTGCAGATACTGCGAGAGCCGACGGAGGGTTTTGTTGCAGCACGTGCATGAAGGCTATGAGAAGGACCTGTGGGAGTACATCGAGGACTGAGCCCGGCCCTGCAGGAACGAACTCTGAACCCTTTCCCATCTTAGAGTGCTCATGCAATTCCAATAAAACCCACCCAGGGCGCTGCTCCGCCTCTTACACCGCTGGTCTGTAGTACCGGGATTCTGTTTTGTTAACAGAAAAATTAAGTAAATTATATTGTAATAAAAAAAAAAAAAAAGGTAGATAAACCATTGTACAACAGTATTCTAGGCGGCCAAGAGTGTGACAGACGCACTAAAAACCCTCCAACTTTAACTTGTAACGTAGCTTCATCCTCCAAGCCGACTCCTTTTTCTTTTCTCTCTTTCTTTTCCTGTGTGTAGTACAGATGAAATTTAAACCAGTTTCTTGACACTGCTTTTCATGTCCAAACCAGCCATTTTGATGGACTTTGATAAGGGGGGGGTGGCTCTCCCGCCCCCCTCCTCCTCTCTGCCACCCAAGTACACGGATGAATGTGGATTATTGGCTCGTCGTAAAGAGGATTTTTGGGAAGGGGAGGAGGGGGGTACACAGCAAGGAAAAAAAAAAACCAACCTTTGTATATGAATTTTAAAACAAAAAGAGGACAACACAGTATTTTTCAAAGTTGTATATAGCGCATATGCATGGACAAAGAGCAAGCGTGGCACGTGTTTGCATAATGTTTAATTACAAAAAAATATTTATTCTTTAAAAATCTTCAAGATTATGTCTATTTGCTGTGCATTTTCTTTCAGTTTGATTCTTTTGTTTGGTTTTGTTCTTTTTTTTTTTTCTTTTCCCTGGGCTGGGGTGGGGGAAGCGTGTGCTGGTGTAGTGAATATATCTATATATATATTTTATTTTTTTTTTTTTTGGAAGGCTTTTACCAGAGCAGTTGGGTTTCTCCTCTTATCCTGCAGTTTTTCTTTTCCCTGGGCTGGGGTGGGGGAAGCGTGTGCTGGTGTAGTGAATATATCTATATATATATTTTATTTTTTTTTTTTTTGGAAGGCTTTTACCAGAGCAGTTGGGTTTCTCCTCTTATCCTGCAGTTCCTTTCTGTCCAGGGCCTCCCCCGGGCCCGTGTGTGTATCCATTGCTGGCGACGGACGCGGCCCCTCGCAGCTCCTGGAGCTCTGGGTCAGGATGCTTTGCCTTTTTTCTTCTTTTATTTTCGGCCCCCGGATCTTTTCCTGCCCAAATCCAACTCTCCGTTCCCACCTGTGCACGCAGGACACGTGCTCTGAACCCAGAGGAGGGGTGTGTGTGTGTGTGTGTGTGTTTAGAGGTTTATTTTGGATCCCGAGGCAGGACAAGGAGGGGTGTTTGGCACCACTTCTCCAAAGACTTCCGGCGAGATTTCGGCTGTGGATCTCCTCTCCCTCCCCCTTTCATCTGTCAAATGGACCCTTCCTTGCTGTTTTAATTTTCACTTACATTATAACGAGTCGTAACATTGAAAAGGAAACCTGATGGAATTGTCTTTGTGTTTGTTTTGGGCTCACTCACTGGGCATCCTGTCCTGGCAACTATTTAACACTCCAGCTAGTGCAGTAGAAGCTGAAATCAGCGGAGTATTTTTCAATTAAAAGGGGAAAGAACTAATGAGTTTAGCTACTGAGTCCATTTTTATGATTTCTGTAACAAGAGCTATGTTAAAGTAAACAATTGGTGGTGGTTTTATTAAATTTACTCCTGTATAGGAATTCCTCCTGTGGTATTTTTCGCCAGGCAACTGTCCTCCCAGCCTTCTGCCTCTCTGCAACTTCCAGGGGGATCAAAGGTGTGAAGGGGTCAGATAAAAAAGGCAGGGCTAGAACATGGAATGCTGCTTCCAGCTGGCACCAGAGTCACACTGGCTCCCTCACTGACACTACTGACGTTCTAGGGATGTAGTTTTATCCCTTTGTACCTGCTTTTCCCTTTATTTGACCTGCAAGTCAGATGTGAGGGACTGCAGCCGCCTTCCCTGTGCTTTTCCTGATGGTGCTGGAGGGGTGGGATGGCACGGGCTTCCCACTGGGAATTCTGCATTCCTGTGTTAAAACACGCAGTGGGCTGGGCAGGTGGAAGAACACAGGTGCTGGGTTTCCACAAAAGGAACACACCGAGGATGTGGGCACCGCAACCCAGAGGAAACCTGGGCTGTGGCGTCCTCAATCCCCGTGGCTGTTGGAAAACCTTGATAATGGTAATTAACTCCCTGTTCTGTGGGAGAACCTGCTGCGAGCCGAAGGAACCTGGGCTGTGGTGTCTCGAATCCTGATGGCGGTTGGCAAACCTTAAGATAACGGTAATTCCCAAAGGAAACCTGATCTGTGGCATCCTCGACCCTGATGGCAGACCTTAAGATAATGGTAATTAACACCCTGTTCTGTGGGAGAACCTGCTCCTCCGGGTTCCAGTTGCTCCCAGGTGAATTGCCTGGCTATGAGGGCGCCATCCCCCCGGACGCTGTGGGAATATAAAGGAGAATAAACAAAAGCCCTCACGAAAAGGTCCCTCCCTGCTGCTGCTCTGCGGGGTTGGGCGAGCGGG